GTCCTGTGCCCGCGGCTTGCTGCCGCCAACAACCTAACGTTATCCTCCTCGTCTCGTAAGACCAGGGAACATCCATACAGGGGACATATCTCTCGCTGGTAAGTTTTTTTTTCCACTTTACCTTTCGTTGTTTACCAATCGTTTCAATAAAAGGCACGATTCGTTCGTACATCGAAATCATAAATCATCATTCGATAGGAACGATCGGTGAAATATCTCGACATCGTTCAAGCCTGCAACTTGTGTCGACACGCTAGTGAGGTTACTTTGCATCGGCTGAATTTCGATTTTCAATCAGCAACCGTGGCGCCCGTACATATCTGCTCCGCGCCTCGACGTTACGCCATTATTTATCCTGTCTGTCGCGAACTGTCTTAATTATTATTAATGACTCGTACAAGAAAGGTTCGACAGGTGAATGCGAAATTATCGATTCTGCAGCAGCTTTTTCACGATTTCATGCCTTATTCTATCCGTCTCTGGACGCTAGAGCTAGTGGCACCCGGATATCTCACGAGATAATTGAGGCTAGAGTTATTACTACTCGATTCGTTGCATGACCCTCGGTATAATTTTATCCGATGCTTCGAGTAATTTATGTTACGACAGATAATAAAACAAATGACGATTTGTATCCACCAGAATGATGGGAAGAAAAGAAATATCCAAGATTAGTAAAACTTGAAACTGAAAAATATTTATGTGTACCAGCAGTATTTGCCAGCTCTGAAAGAGTATTGGAGATATTGATTCAAGGCGAACCAGTCCTCAGTATTTTTATACAAAGACATTTAGTTTAAAATAATTACTTCGTTGTTTTATTATTTATCGCTAAGATAATAATTACATTGTAGACACCCGAGTAATCCGTGTAAAGATAATAGTTTCAACTCGGGGTAACTCACAAGTAACAGTTCTATTGAGTCATCTGCTTTCTGAAATGTTACTGCATCCTTCTGCACGTATCATTTTCTGTAAACGTCACATCAGATACATTCATATCGATACAATGGAGAACCACGTTTCCGTTTTCCGATTTTTTTTTTTTTTGACGATCGCCTTTCTGGATTCTCTTTGAGCTTGGAATTCTTTAAACTTCGCAAAGTCTCAAATTCGGTCGTTCTCGAATCTCGTCTGAAACGTTTCAGGACGCAGGCCTTGGAGGACACGACCAAGCGGATGACTTATCGAGAGATGAACATGATTCTACGACACGAAGGAGGCGAGGACGGCCTTCCAGTGGATTGCTGCCCTACGGTAGAGGAAATGGTGGAACCGGTCGGCGGTCGAAATCGGGAAAACATGTACGTCCAGCTGTATCGGGATGGCCAGAACGCCCAGAGGTTCTTCGAGTACTCCTGCAGGCCAGACGTCCTCGACAAGCCGTGCAGGTTCATCGACCGGAAGTTCACTAACCAGTCCAGATGTGTGCAGAAGTTCTCATACACTTACGCTATCATTGAAAATTCTGGATCGACGGTACGTAATGTAAAATAATCTCGATCTAGTTTCCATTGGCCTTTCGCAAATTGCATCGTCGTTAGGCGTTGATACTTTTTTTTTTTTTTTTTT